CCCTCTGGCCCGCCTCGCCCCGCCAGCTCCGTGCTCCTTCCGGCGGAAGTCCCTGCTCGGGGGTCACCTGACCGTAGAGTGGGCTAGAAATGGCGTCTTACTTGATTGCTGGTGAGCGGCTAGTGCGTGCTTTGGCCCCTGGCGGGGAGCTGGAGCGAGAGCAGCTGCCACGGAAGCTGCGGGCAGAGCTTGAGGCTGCGTTGGGGAAGAAGCACAAGGGCGGTGATGGCTCTAGTGGCCCCACACGCCTGGTTTCCTTCCGCCTGGTCCGAGATCTGCACCAGCACCTGAGAGAAAGGGGTGAGGCCCGTTCTCCAGTTCGGAGTCGCCTCCTTTTTTTCCAGAGTCTGTTCCTTCTTGAGGTCTTTTTCCCACATCTAGCATCTTTATTCATCTCTCTTTCGCTCGCGAAACGGTCATCGAGCCAACCCAAGAGTCGCCTCATAAATCCTAAGGCAACTTACTCCCTTCCCAACTTCCATGGGAGTTTCTTATGGATTACAAAATTTATTGGTGCAATTTCTGCTTTCCTGAGAGTCGCCACTTCGCTTCCAGGCCCAAGTAGGCCCACCTGATCCTTCAGGAAGTCCAAGTTCTAACCCAGTACCACCTCACAGGTTCAGTTTCTTCCTTTTAAGCCACATCAGAAACCAACTAAGCATAGTGCGTTTGTCCTGTTTGGGAATCTGTATTTCTTCCCATCTCAAAAGCAAAAGTAGTCAAATCTGAATTTTTTTTTTTTTTTGTGATAGGATGATAGAAAGCTGTGTTGAAAAATCTGAACTGGGAGAAGCAAATGAGTTCTAGTCCTAGCTCTGTCACTGACTCCCATTGGAGAAATCATTTCCTTGGGCCTCAGATCCCTTAAGGGTAAAGGGAGGAAACAGGACATACTGGCATGTGAGGTCTTTTGCCAGAATTAGCATAGCCCACTGAGAAGTGCAAAGGGTAGACTGCTTAACTGTTAGAACTAAAAAGGACTTTAGAGATCCTCTAGTACAGTGTCCTCTGAGTATTCACTAAGACTTAAACCTATTCAGGGCAGTTCTGTCATGGCCACCGAAATGACTTAACCTAAAGGCAAATGTAAATTGCTTGCTTACATGTTAGCTGTGACATTGCCAGGATAATTGAGAGTTGACAGTTAAACTCAGCTGTGCAGCACTAGGAGATGATTATGTGGAATTCTCTTACATTCTTCCTAATTGAAAATGATTCTGGAGATGAACTAGTATAGGAATGCTCGTGTTTTATTTTAGTCAAAAGAATAGAAAGACCTTCTCTGATCTTAATGCTTTGAGTTTAGCTCTATGGATCATTATGTTTGTGGAAATCTTTTCTTTGCAGATTCCATACTATACCTTCATGAGCTCCTAGAAGGCAGTGAAATCTATCTCCCAGAGGTGGTGAAGCCTCCTAGGGTATGTAAGGGATATATTTGTGAGAGTGGGTGTTGGCTGAGTTGAGCTTATTTGTGATACATCCAAATTTATAGGTCAACTTTTGGGTTCAAAAATTTGTCTTTTAAATCCTTGGGAGCTGAGGAGGGGGGAACCAGATATTGTCCTCCATGTTTGACAGCTTAGAAAACATCCATAAAAAACAGTTTCCAAAGGAGTGGAGGCAGAACTGGTACATGGATCTCCTGTACCCTTAGCGGTACTTTGCCCCCTGAAACCAATGATTGTGACATGCTTTCTAGCAAGCTGGGAATATCATCCTTCTCATTTTATTTTCCTGCCTTAGAACCCAGAGCTAGTTGCCCGTTTGGAGAAAATTAAGATACAACTGGCCAATGAGGAATATAAGCGGATCACCCGCAATGTCACCTGTCAGGTAAGGGCCTGTTCTTCAATACATGGACTTAGTAGCCCTGGAAAGCAGGGCCCTGCACTGGGAAGAGGCACAGAGGAAAGAAACAACACAGAATGGTTCATATACTAAGGACCAAAGATGCTCTGTGTTACATGCAAACCAAATATAATTCCCAATTCATTCCCTGAGACTCTGGGCTTAGATGGTGTCTGATTCTTACAAGTTGTAGAGGTAGGAATGAGCATTGGAGCCTTTCTTCTGACAGGGCTCCCTACTGTTCTCTGCATTCTCCTGCCCTGGAGCAGTAGAGGGGTAGATGAATACTGGGAGCCTATGTCCTTTCTTTGAAATGCTTAATCTGTGGTACAAAAAAGAATCCAGCTGGTCACAGACGAAGGAATCCATGGAGCCCGGCCAGGCGTGGCTCAGCAGTTGAGCATCAACCTAGTACCCAGGATATTGAGGTTCTATTCCCAGTCAGGGCACATGCCCAGGTTGAGGGCTTGATCCCCAGTCAGGGGCATGCAGGAGGCAGCCGATCAATGACGACATCTCTCATCGTTGATGTTTCAACTCTCTCTCTCCCTCTTCCTTCCTCTCTGAAATCTATATATATATATATGTATAAAATCCATGGAGAAGAAAGAGGTAATGTTTTGGGGAATAAAAAGGTCTGAGCCCAGACTAACATATGGATACTCTCTGGGCTGCCTCTGAGCTGCTTCTGTTCTGAAATCATTTGCTTTTGCTTTTTCCCAGGATTCAAGGCATGGTGGGATTCTAAGTGACCTGGGCAAGGAAGGTGAGATACTAGGATGTCACATGCTAAAGTCTGTTCCTGCAAGGGATTAATCATGGCACTTCTTCCCACCCCAGTGTTCTGGGGTTAAGCCTGAGCTATTCAGGTTTGCTGTTTAAGGGAAACCCAGTTGATGGGGGAGGCAGCTATGAGACAAGAAGGCCTCCTGGAGGATGCTGACCTAAAGGTTTCTTTCCTGCATTCCTCCTCAAAGTGAGGTCAGTGAAGGCTCTGGTCATCAGCATCTTCAACTTCATTGTCACGGTGGCAGCTGCCTTTGTCTGCACTTACCTTGGAAGCCAGTATGTCTTCACAGAAATGGCCTCGGTGAGTAGGCACTGGGCAGAATAGGGGGCTCCAGGTGGGGGCGTTAGTGGGAAAGGGAGATGTATGTGAAAATGCCTTGCATAGGTTAGGTGTTGAACAAATATTTATGCACTAAAAAAGAGGAGCGTTTGAGCTTTTGAGTAGTCTTAGAGGAGCATTTGAGCTTTTGAGTAGTCTTGTGGGTAGATAATAAGCTCAAGAGAATTAAGATCCTCTTTTCTTCCCTTTCCTCCAGCTTATGGGCTGGGTTGGGGTCCTCTTCATCCTTATTAGAGGTGTTAGAGGCTGCAGAGTTGGTGGCTGGCCTCCATCCCCTGAGCCTGGTTCTCTCCCTCCCCAGCGGATACTGGCTGCGTTGATCGTCGCCTCTGTAGTGGGTCTAGCCGAGCTATATGTCATGGTGCGGGTGATGGAAGGCGAGTTGGGAGAGATATAACCGGTGCTTCATCATCAAAACCTGGAGACGGTTTGGAGGGGCTCCAGGCTCCCAGCTGCCAGTCACCGACTCTCAGTCAACCCATCAGGTTCTTTGTGTTCAGGGCCATGCCAAGGCTACCTGCTGTTTCTGTGGAGAGTCTCATCCTCTGTCATTTCCCAGAGGGGGCAGCAGAGGAGACTCAGACAACTGAAAAGGACTGGTCTGCCAGTACCTTCTCCTTCTCCTGATGGCTCTCTGCCTTCTCCAGTCCATTCTGGGCACTGCTGGGGCTGGGGTTTTCCATTGAGAGTGAATGGAGTCCGGGCCTTCCCATACTGCCTGAACTTGCCCAAGTGCACATATCAGTCGTCGTTCTTGTTCCACACATCTTTGATGCTGACCTGTAACTTAGTTCTGAAGCCGCCAAGAAAACAGAATGGATTCCCTTTCTCCACGTTATGCTGGAAGAGGAACTGATAGAGGACGTCAGGGAAGAGGAAGAGGAAGGTGGGTTGGTACAGAATGGTGGGAGTGGAAGTAAGGCAGCTACCTTTGTGGGATCTTTGTTTCTACTTTTGCCCTCTCCCTTCTGCTTGCCTTTCTCAGGTTCTCTGTGTGCTTCCTTCTGCCTCTCTACCATCCACCAGCCCTCCTTAAACTTCCCACCTTCTCTGCACCCTTTGCTCTGTCTCCAAAAATGAAAACAATTCAGGTAGCAAAACAGTGTATCTGCTTTTAATTGCAAAATCCCTTTACTTGTTTGTGTTTGTGGGGAGAGTATGCCTCAACTAGTAAAGGGAGGGACAGGGGCAATTTTCAGATTTAATTATATATATAAATATGAATAAACATACACATTAATGTGTATACCTAATATATACATTATGAATATGTATACATGTTTTTATACATGAGCCTAATACAGGATGTTTTACGTGGGTTCTCAGACATGTCTGGGTAGATGCAAAAAATAGTATGTAAATGCTCACAGTTGACTAATTGTCTTATGTAGTTGCTTTTGGTCTTTATCACAATCTTGGAGGTTGGAAAAGGAAATGGTCTTAGGCCCCTTTTCCAGAAGACAAAACTGAGGGTAAGAGAGATCAAACGACCTACTCTGATCCTTCCTGTGTTAAATGGAGCCAAAGACTCCTAGATGGTCCTGAAGTCTCTGTGTAATGTTAAATTTCCAGAACTTAGATTGGTGGTGTGATGATAGAATCTGTGTAAGGCACAATAAATATTTATTACATTCAGTGTGCTTTTATTTCCAATCCGTGACAATACAGGAGCCCAAAGACTTTTACAGTTCTGAGAATTGTGCAGGGTCTGCTCCTAATGGTAGGCTCTATCTTTCCATTTGTTCACTGCATGAGCTCTGGTGCCCCCCTCCCCGGCGCTCTTCTGTTCTTAGAAATTATACACTCATTGGCTGAGTAGACATTCCCTCTACAGTGTTTGCCTGTTTCTTAATACATAGCAAGTAGAGCCTATCACGGCAGTATTCTATATAAGAATATATATGTAAAATATATATATATATATAAGAAATATATCTATATAAGAAATACAGAAGGGTTTTGGCCCTTCTGTTCACCATAGATCACTTTGTTGAGAAAACAGGATTTCTGTTGTTGGTTGGCAGAAATGAAAGCTGAGGGGGGAAAATGTAGGTGGCATTTTACAGTGTTTCTAGCAACCTAAACTGTTTTAAGATTAAGTTTTTAAAGCTTTGTGGAGATTCCTGGCTCCGCTTACCTGTGCTGAACTCTGTGGGCCAGGGTACCCGCATATCCTTAAGCTTTCACATCCCCCAGGTACCTGCATTCAGGTTGGAAGACTTCCAAATTTTAGCTAAAGAGCAGGCCTCCTCAGATAGCTTCTGACTCAGGGTGTCTTCTCATGATGAGATTGGGGTCATTCCACACACACCCCTTTCATTAGAACGTGGTCATTACCTCATTCCAGCTGACTCACAAGCCAAAGGCTTCTGTGGCATTGAGCACTTACTGAAACCTCCTTTATGGCCCAAGTACTGTGCTAGCTTCTGGGGATAGAGAGGTAAACAGCCTAGTTCCTGCCAAGGAAATGGCCACTGTGCAAGGTAGTTTCTCTCTATAAGGGCACAGTTAGAAATAGGAATTGGTGGCCTGTCCTGCAGTTCTCATCACAGAAAAGGGAACTTGCTGCTCTCAGTCAGTCACTTCCTCTGTCTCACCAGACCATGCTTTCTCTGGTGCAGTCTTGGTCCAGGGCTTCCTGGGGAGAAATGGGAGTGCTCAACAGGAGGCCAGAGGAACAGGAAGTTTGGGCCCTTCCAAGTTTCTCATGACCTGCTGCTGTATAGAGAGGGAATGGGAACTAGTGTTGTGTTGAGAGCTTTTACAACACATCACACACGTGAAGCCCTTCACCTACATTATTGCTCTCATTTCCAAAATGGAGAGGAGACAAGTATCATCCCCATTTTCAGGCTCATAGATTCAGAGAGTTGCAAGGTTACGTGGCAAAGCCAGGATTTGCATCTGATTGCAGACTCCATGCTTTCCTCCCTGAAGCAGAGCAGCTCCAGAAGAGGAGGCGGCGGGATTGTCCTGGGACCAGTGGGATCAGGAGCAAGAGTTGCCAGCAGAGGTTCCCACCTCCCCAGGGTCTCAGCAAGAGCCCTAAGGCCTTCAGTTAACTGTCTCAACTATTCCCAGCAGAAGCTGGGGTAATACCTCCCACCCAGAATCTGTGTGGAACTTGACCCATTTAGGGATTTGGTAATGGAGCTAAATTTCAAAAGCAAATGGCCCTCTCATCCCCATTCATTTGCATCACACAACAATCCAGATTAAGGTACAGAGTTTGGGTTTTATTTGGAGATTAGTTGGTATTACAGATGACAGTGATACCGAAACCCAATGCTGCCATGCACACACCACCCTACCACATCCTAAATCTGTCAGGCTCTCTCCACAGCCCCAGGTCAGAGGGCAGCCAATCTGATCTTTATGAAAATTAAATCAGTGTAAGCTCCAAGCTCCTATTTCTACTTTATTACTTTAATATCCCTTCATCTTCAGATCCATGATTCTGATTAATTTGTCCAGGTGGTAGGAGGTCAGAAGAGACCCTCAACTATGAAAGGGTTGTTCCCTTGCAGTCTAGAATTAGGATTAGCACACTGTAATATCCTAGCTCACTTAGTAGTTAGGTGCTGGCTTGAAGATGAGGGGCAGCTGCACATTCTTTAGAGAGAGGAGGTGCCTTTGGCTCGGATGAGAAGAGTTCGGGACCCGGCGTGGCAGGAGAGGTGGAAAACATAGCCCCACACCTTACCCCTCTGAAGGTACCTCCTGCCGAGATATTGGGCATATGCCCCAGGAGGTACAGATTGCTGGGTAGCAGAAGCCAGGCTCCACTTACTCCATAGGACCCACATCTAGGCTGGCCTGGAAGATGGTGGAAGGGAGGGGTCCCTGAGCTAAACATTCTTCCCATAAGAAAACACCCTTGTGTAAAAGAAGGGGGTGTGGATCCACTTCTGATGTGTTCAGTCCTAAGGGGCAGGTGGGCTACAGGAGTTAGAGGTGGGGGTTTGCAAGTTCTCAACCTATATTAGGAGTGGCCCAGGTTGGTGACAATGGCTGAGGTATAGATAAGGTCAGACAGGCTGCCCAGTGAGGTCTGAGAAGTAACTTGCTCTGAAGAAAGGTGGACCCCTGAAGCCCCAGCTGACCCCCATGGAGCTACAGCTTTAGCCCCCACCTGGCCCTGCCCTGGACCCAAGTCAGGAGCTGGACAGGAGGCATGTTGACACCCTGAGGTGCACTGAGGTGTGCTGTTGGAGAGTGGAAGTTGGCCTAGTATTTGGGGCTCCTGAGGCTGCTGGAGGGTATCTGGAAGAGAACAGGGTCTCTGGGGGGGCTCAGGCCTGGGGCTTAGGCCTCCTGGCTTCCTGTTCTTGATTCTCTTGGCCCGCCGGTTCTGGAACCACACCTGGTAAGAGCGGAGGAAGAAGTGTTCTCTTCTGGTCCCAGTACCCCCTCCCCTGGCACAGGGAAAGCAGGACTTAGAGGCAGGATACTCAGAAGGAGCTGTGGGTCAAGCCCAGAAGCTGGCTGTGCAAGAGTACCCCCACCCTGAGAGGGGGTCACAGCTCACCTGTATCTTAGCCTCAGGAAGGCAGGTGACCTGGGCCAGATGCTCACGGGTGCCAATGTCAGGGTAGGGCCATGCCGCAAACACCCGCTCCAACTCCAACAGCTGCCCTCTGCTGAAGGTGGTCCGCTTTCTCCGGTGGGGACCCAGCCCACTGGCATAGCCTGTGGGCCGGGTTGGGGGTCAGTCCAGGACTCCAATAGCCTTTACACCAACCTCAAAGCCCCCAAGAGACC